GATCTTAGTTTCTTAGCTTTATATAATGGTTGGGAATAAGATAATAGTCTAGAAATATGTATTAATGCTTCTTTCAATTAGGAGATGCCCCACTCGGGCCACTCCTATTTGATTTGCTATCTGAATACCTTGTAGAGCTGCCAATAGTTCAGCCTTGACTAAATCTCCTATTCCCACTGGACCAGAGTACAAGGCCAAGATGTTGTTGTCTTATTTCTTAAAACTCCTCCTATGCCTGAGGGGCCAGGATTTCCTTGACTACTACCACCAAAATTCAGTGTAACCCAGTCTTGAGGTGACGGAGTCCAATCTACAATGACCTTTTCTTTCCTAGAGGAGCTGTTTGCCACTGCTGACCAGCTTCTCCAAAAGTAATCAAAGGAAACACAGCAGAAAAAAAATCCAAAGTTTTCAGCCAGTTAATCGCCCTTGTTAGGATACATTCCTTGTCAAGTAAGAGACTTCATTCCTTTTCTTGAAAGACTTGCATTTCTTTCTTCCCAAATTGTCCAAGGTGCAGCAGCTCTAATACATTTCCACATAGTCCTCCCTCTTCTAGTGGGGCCACACAAAGGTCGACGGGTCAAAAAGCAGACTTACATCAGAATGCCGGTTCCACCTACATCCAAACAAGACAAAAATCTAATCCCAAATAACAACAGCAAAAGAGCAGGAAGTTAGTAAGTGGAAGCAATCGTCACCATTAGCTTTGCAAAGAATACACTAGTTAGGGGATAATTACATGAAAGGCTTTTTCTTCTGCAAACAGTCTAATGTATTGATCTTCCCATGAAGCACTTCCCAGTAGAACAGAATAACCTTAGGAGGGAATAGGTCTAGTCCAAAACTCCTTAACTGGACAGACACCTTGAGCAGGGGAAGAACAAAGGACCTTAAAGAATGAAGCACAAGTGAAGAAGCCTTTGGGGTGGGGAGACCAAATTCTCTTGTCTGGCTTTAGAGGATCCAAACAAACACTATTTAGGACATGAAGAAGTTCCAATACAACATCAAGTTCAGCATCTCTTAAACTCCTATGGAAGCCAAAATTCCAATTCAAAGCCAGAGGGGAAAAAAGGGAAGGAAGAAAGTGGGACACAACCTTATGCTTAAACGAGGAGTATAGAGAAAGGAATAGGTCCTTGAGAGCTGAAATACCTACCCGAACATCTCCCAAAATTAAACAGAATTCCCTAAACAAGCATCATACCTAACAAAGTTCAGAAAAAGGGGCAAGATACTGTGAATTGCTTTACAAGGAGTGGTCAAAGTAGCCCGACAAGAAACTCCAGCATTCCAACCGTTCTCCAAACAGCCATGAATACTAGCTATTACCTCATGCCACAACTTCTCTCTTTCCGAAGGCCATCTCCACAACCACTTACCTAACAAAGCTACATTCTTTAGAGACAAATTCCCTAACCCCAACCCACCCTCTTCTTTTCTCCTACGAAGTTACAAACTATCTCTCATCTTATTAACTGATCCTTTTTCTCTTCCCCACCCTCATTAATTTCTCCAATTTCTTTGCCTCCCAAGAGGGTATCCTGAACACAAAGAGATAATAAACCAGCTAGAGTGGCTTTAAGCAAAGTTACTCTAGCCTTTTTTCCAAATTTCTCTAGGATTGGAATCCAAAAACAGCTCTCTTTCAGATTAGCCCCTAGGGGAAGCCCAAGATAAGACAAGGGCCAAGAAGCTACATAACAACTTAAGCACTTTGCCACAGACTCAATAAACCCTTCATCTAAGTTAATCCCTACTACGCAGCTCTTGTCCAGATTTATTTTCAATTAGAGACCCCTTCACTAAAAATAATAATATCATTAGCAAACTGGAGATGGGTCACTAGGATTCTATTTCTTCCTATCCTCCAACCTCTAATTGCCTATTCCCCGTCTACCTTTGAGAGTAGCCTACTGAACACATCTGCTATTAGAGTAAAGAGAAAGGGGAAAAGGGGGTCACCCTGCCATAATCCTCCAATGGCTGGAAAGAAGTCCTTAACCATACCATTTACTAGGACTGAAAAATGAAAAGAACTAATATAGCCCTTCGTCCAATTGCACCACCTATCACCAAAACCACAATTCCTCAGGACCTCAATCAAGAAGCTCCAATCCACTAAGTCATATGCCTTTTCTAAATCCAATTTACAGACAACACCTTGTTGGTCTGATCTCCTCATTTCCTCCACAGGTTCATTGGCAATTAGTATTTGATCAAAAATTTGTCTCCCTTGCAGAAAGGCCCCTTGAGCTTGTAAAGGAGGTATTACTGCTTTAAGCCTCAAAGACAAAACTTTAGCCAAGATTTTCTAGATACTAGTCACCAGGCTAATCGGCCTAAAATCCATAGGGTGTTCCACATCTATCTTTTTCGGAATTAAGGCTACGAAAGTGGCATTGACTCCTAGGCTCACTAAATGTCTTTCTACAAACTCCCTAAAGACCCCAACTAAGTCTCCCTTCACCACATCCCAACAGTCTTGATAGCCATGGTAAAACCATCTGGACCAGGGGCTTTTGATCTATCCATGAGGAACACTACCTATTTTATCTCCTCTTCAAAATCTCTCTCCAACCAGCTGACAATGTCCTCGCATAACCTTAGCCACTCAACTCCTTCCACCCTAGATATGTTATACAAAGGATTTCTCAACAGGGATTTAAAATGAACCACAAATCTCCTTGCAATTTCTTCTTGATTTGTTACCTCTTCACCCTCAATTTCCAATTTTGCCATAAAGTTCTTTCTCTTTCTTCCATTAGCTAAAACATGAAAGTACTTTGTATTCCCATCCCCTTCCTTTATCCATTTATGTCTAGACTTTTGCCTCCAGGATATCTCTTCTCTCAATAAAACTTCTTCTAAATCCTCCTTGAGCTTTCTTCTCATTCCTCTTCCGTGCTCATCCAAAGTTCCTTGGGATTCTTTAAAATCAAGCTCCTTAACCCTTGCTAGCAATGATGCCTTTTGTTCCTCTAGTATGCCAAAGTGGTCCTTATTCCACTCTTTTATCTTGGGACCTTAGCCTCTTTAGTTTTTTATGAAATTTGACTCCCAGCCACTTGACCCCTCCTAAGTCTTCATTCCACCATTCTTCCACTTTCTGCACAAAATCAGGGTGATTCAACCACATGTTTTTGAATCTAAAAGGGCAAGGTCCTGATCCTAAGATCTTCGGGCCTAACTTGATAGAGCAATGATCAGATGTTACTCTAGGTAGAGCCCTAGCCATCAAATCTCTCCAATGGTTTCCCCAACCTTCATTGAAAAGAAATTTGTCCAGTATGGAACAAAGTGGGTTTTCCTAAAAGTTGGACCAAGTGAAATTGGCTTGTAGAAAGGAAATCTCTTTTAACCCACAAGTATTGATGAATTCATTGAAATCACCCCCCTAAACACC